TCAGGTTGCATTCCTCTTGTGTATTAATAGTTTAGTGTGCGTCGTGCTGGGATGGATCTTGACCTGCCGAGTATAGCAACAAAGTACAAAGTAACTTGGTCCTTTTGAAATTTTATGATCTGTAGTTCAGACTTTCGGTTTCAACATCGTTGCACCCTGCTTTATGCAACTGCACTTTTGCCTCGTGCTCGCAGAAGAAGGAGTTGCGGACTTTTCTTCTGTACAATTAAACGAGGTGAGCGCGATATAACATATTGAAACGTGAAATAGTCGCGTGTTTTCTTAGGAGTTTAATATCAGGCTAGCAAATGTAAGGGCTCCGGGCCGATAATCTGAGAAATGTGTAGGGTTCACCGATTCGGAAGAATTGCATGGCTGAGATTTCGGAGGGCTTTGCCGACTCTCCTTACACTAAAGGAGTCTTCCAGGCTGTTTCACGACTGTTACAAGTCGCCAGAGTACGCACTGCCCATCGATCCCAGGCAACAGTTCGCCCTTGTTTGGTGCAACCCAGCGACACACTGCTATCCGCTGTCGCCTATCAAATGTGCTGTAACAATGAGGACTGAAACTGCGTTGGGCAAACCGGACGGAAATTGCAGACCCGCCTACAAGAGCACAAACTGGCAACTCGGAGACTAGATCCGTACTCATAGCTTGCGACCCACATCGGAGAAACTGGTCACAGTTTTGACTTTCAAGGAGTAACCGTCTTAAGCCGGGGCACCTCAAGGCTTGGTACTCAGATGCCAACAGGCATTTGGACCTTCCTGCGGTCTATAAAGTCCTACATCCCTATACACGCCGTGACCAGGACAAGTCGGTCACGCGGAGTTAAAAAATGTCAAAGCAAATGCTAATTCACCCGAACGAGGGGCAGAGGTGCAACCGACCCCCACTGAGGTGACGACACACAACGCAGAAGGTCGCCAACATTCACAAACAACGGCCAGAAGGTCGAGGCAGCGAAAGAAGAAAAAAATCGACCAGCTCAAGGCCCACTAATTCGGCCGTTTGGTTAAAATTCCGATTGACTTTTGAGCAAAAGGCTTTGATAATGGAGAACCAGCCAAACTGCCCAAAACATCAGCCATACAATTCCTCTGATCCAATGGGTCCTACATGGGTGTCCAGTATCAGGTCGGGAACCGGCAAACTCCCTTAGGTGCATCTGGGGACCGGCACAAACACTGTCGAGAGGAAATAAATCTGGTGAAGGCATTCGCAGTGTATGCGCCAAAACTTATCCAGCCCTACACAAATCTTGAATTATAAGGCACTACTTAAATTAAATTTTAGTAATTTGCGACGGAAGGGGGCCCCTGGTCGCTAATCCTTCCACCCCAGTGCGTTAGTACAATTGAGGATAATCGATATCTATGTAGTACATATTTTTCACCGATCGTCGGCATTTGCGACAACTTATTACTCTTTTAAGGACGAGCTGCACGTGAAATTCTGTAAATGCATTTATTTTGTAACAGAGCTAAACACCCCGGTTCCCCACATATTTTTTCTCTGTGACAATGCTACTCAAATGAATCAAGTACTATGTATATAGAGAACATTTTCATTGTTACTGTACAGTTAGTTCTAACGAGTTGACATGTTATCAATAGGGTTTTCAAAGGCTTTGCCTATCATCCTTATCAAATAAACTGAATAAATAAACTGAGTTCATCTTCTTAAAATTTGATTCTTGTGGGCAATAAATACCTAAGTTCTGCGAAACCTTAGTTATGCGCATGTTTGGTATACTTGCTGAAGCATTCGTGCAGCCCCGCTTGTGACTTTCAGAAGCCGAAAAAATAATTGGGATTGGTTTTCGAGGCACCAGGTGGTTTGAAAACCTTAGTAGCACGTGATATTGCACATTTTGTTTTAAAGTATATCTAGATTAAGGTGCTTACACTGTTGGTCAAAGTGGACTCCCCAGCAAACTCTGATAAATCAGGACAAAGCCAGTGAGCGCCGTGTTCTTTTAACTCGTTTTGCTTTCTATCAGTTTACTTTACCGTAACCTAAATAAAGCCATGGGTGTAAATTATTGCGTTTATTTATTTTATTTATTCGTTGCGGCTACAACGTCTTCCCTCCTGCTGTTGATGATGCGGGATTCATTTTTACGTTATCATACCAGCTGTCAGTGCTAGAGTTTCATGTTAACCGAAAACATGTCGTTGTTGTTTGGGACTACGAAATTCAGCTGGCCATTGCGCGGTTATGGGAGCTCCTGTAGTTTAGTACCATTGTAATCATTCAGCGACCCCTACCCGGAGTCCGCTGACAATCCTCTGTCGACTTACATCGTTTCAACCACTCTATAATAGCTGTTCTAACTCCACCAAGTATTTAATTATTCAGTGTTTTTATCTACTACAGCGCGTCGTCCCGATAAGCTGTCAGAGAATTCTTGCTCTTTCGAAAAGTAGGGTGAACAAAACATCAAGGTCAGTTCAGTTTTCCATCAAAAATGCGGGGCGCCCATTCGTCTCTGATGTGAGTTACAGACGTATTTCACAGCAAAACAGGAGATCCAGGCAGGCACCGGTGTGAATTATTTGTTGGTCAACCGTGTGCGTGTGCTTAGTGCCAGAACAGTCTGTGCTTTAAATTACCGCACAGCGAAAAAATTTTGGTTGCTGAAAATTTAACCATAGCAATGACAATTATGTGGGTCGTTCCAAAGAAACTACTGGGCGATCGTCACAAACTCCTGAAAGAAGTTGGTAAAACACAATACTACTTAGGAAGTAGTTCCCGACCTGCAAGGATTGTTACTAGTAACTGGCAAAGCTCTCATTCAGAAACCAAGATGCTATCGTATTTTAATAAATACGAAAATATTTTTCATGGCAGTCTGTGTTTCAACTTCGTCTCGACAAAAGTCTCATGCTGACATCACTTTTGCAGATTTCGGTCTTTATTTTGGTAGTTTTCGTGACGAAATCATTTAGTGGCCATTTGGTGTTTCCCTTCCCATCCCCCACTTTCGGACGCGTCAGGCTGTTGGAAATTAGCTTGGCTGGCAAAATGCCATTTAACCAAAACCGATCAGGTCAAACTTTACGGTCTGTGAAAACAACGTGAAGACGAGGTCGCCAACGTCAACTACAAAGTCCTCCCGTGGGGGGAGGGATTTCGGAGCTAATCGATAATAGGATCTTTGTTTGCGGTGTGTGGAGGTCGCAGGAAGACATTTCCAGCGGCTTGTCTGTGTGCGTGACGACTTTTTCGAGACTTAAAACACGCACTCTTGGCGGGAAAAGCTTTCACTCGAGACTGCCGTGAGAGATCTAACTGGACAGTCTCCAGACATCCCGCGATACTTTGAAGAGCATTCTCCGTGTCCAGAGTTTCACTTCCATTTTGGTTTTATTTTTTGCCCGAGACAGGGCTAAGGGAGTCACGGCAGAAATACAAGTCCAAGGTTCCTAGACATTCAGATCAGATCAGTTGCAGCCTGAAGAGTACGAGACAGTGGCAGGATATCAAGTTCATTGATTAACTAAGCTTAAGTTCCAATTGTAGGCCGTGGTCCGGCAGGATGGCAACAACAAACATGTCATGATAGGGGGCGCTCACCGATCGTTCTTACGGAACTCACTCGTTCCGTTGTGCCTTATGGGCTCTCTCTCTCTCGAGCCCAACCAGCAGCCGCACCGCGGCGGATGATATAGGCAGAATAGCATTACCGAAAAACACAAGGGAGACTGGAATGGCCATTTCCGGCTTATTAGCCGTCGTCAGCCAGTCATACCCAACCCGAAGAGTGGAACACCCGAGGCGGTCATTTCAGCTTCTTGCATATCCATTGCCAATGCCTCTCTCATTAGGATACATTAGCAACGACATCTAACTATCCCCGGTCTTGCCCATCGTCAGGGAGACATATTTTAGGGGGAAGCAATAAAGGGGTTAAATTCAGTAGTCTTGGTCCCATACATCCCGCTCATTGGAAGTGTACACTCTACCAGTTCAGCAGGAAGAAGCCAGAGGAACGCATCATCCAAGGCTGCTTTATGAAAATAGGTAGGTTTCCCCTGTCACTATAGCATAGAATATCCAGTTGCTACCACTCTACTATCCGTCATTGGGTTTAAAAATTAAAAGAAAGGTAAAGAAAGGTAACGCTGTTTCAAACCTACAGTTTTGCGCCATGTCGACGTGGTCCAGCGTCTGAATGATTGAGCAGAGGAGACCGCTTGCCAGCAGCTTTGTCCAGCACTTTCTGTCCGCAGGAGTCACACCTAAATGAAGAACAAAGTCGG